TATATTAAGAGAACATAGGAATAAATTAGCCATTATTATATCCGCACGTTCGCTTATTATTCAGTATAAACAAGTAACCTATATCTTGAATGTGTGTCATCATATATCACGACATTCAAACAATTCTCGTTATCATTTAACTTTCATGAGGAGTACTGAATCGAAATCAATAAATACATATTGAATATCTTAAAACTGGATAGAAATGGCGTGAAAGAAAAATTAAATAGAGAACAAAATTGTTGTGGTTGGAAGTAATAGTGGTTGCCTGGAAGAGATCGCTCGAAAGAGATAAGGCCGCCAGTTGCCCTGCTTTGTAATTTAAATATTATAATTGTACCTACTGTATTTCTGCAATAAAATGTAAATAAATAAATATATTCAATATGGGTTTGCGAACTACTAGTTTTCTATTATATTAAATATAATTATATTCCTGTCTTTCACGTGAATGAAATTTAATTATAATATCAACTGCCGCTATTACATTACAATCACAATAAATTATTTTAATCTGTCTTTTCGGGCCCTCAGATTTCTGCATCTGTTTCGTAATCTTTCCAATAGGCAAGTATCGTAGTATAAGGCGATCAGCCTTCTTTGCCTGACACAACACTGATACAATCCTGATAATATATAATCTTATATTATCAATCATTATCTGTATGCATTATAGTATCTTCGGCATTCCAATCACAAACCGATAAATTGCATTGCGATTAATTAACACGTAATTCACGATTAATTAAATTTGATTACGTTTCGATTACGTCTTACTTATATTATAAATGAAAAAGTGTGCTTATATAAATGTATTATACCAACCTTTTATTGAGTTGAGAAAAGCCAAAAATTATGGACATTAAATAATAATTACATATTTTATTAACGAAAATCGTTTACAGCAAAATTAAACCCTAGAAGAGTAAAAATAACTCACTTTTCTTATTCGTATCAAATCTATCCTCGTGTCCATTGCAATCGTCATCGTACTCGTAAGCCTTGAAGTTCTCGAAGGAATACAGTTTGACGGCTTTTATTGGCTATTCAATGGATAACAGCGATGTAACTTTCGTACTGTTCGACGACACTTAGTTTCTCAGTAAACAAAGGTCCATAAACACTAGCCTCGTTCTAATATGAATACAATTCAATCCAAAACAGGAAGCTGGATTACGCACGTCGCATTGTTCGCTCAAACAATGGTCGTCGATAGATGCGAATCGTTCGAAATTTAAATTCGCAAGTTTAGTCCGCGATCGTCACGGGCTCAGTAGGTGACCGGTTACCGTGGGGGGCGCGTGTCGTCTGGCCGGGATTGCAGTCTCCGCCGCCGCGCCGGCGCCCGGAATTGTGTCAGACAGTCCCGGAGCACCCCGGCCTTTCATTACACCTCTACGCTCGACGCATCAATACATTCGTTACAGTATGCCTCGGCTTATAATTGTCGCTTAGACAGTACTTATGAATATTATAATTCGAAGCGGTGAATTATAATAAGGAAGGTACTAAGTAATTACAGACCAAGCAATTAAAATAATTTCTCGTTTGGTTAAAATTCGTTCATTCAGGCGCAAAAAAGAATGTTACGCATATAAAAATTTACAATATATTTATATATATATTTATACTTCAGTTTGTTATGGAGCTGGGAACCCTGACACAAGTGACTTCTTACTTAAAAGGTTCCCAAATCTTACACATTGTAATGCATATGTACTTAAAATGAGTAAACAGATTTTTTTATGATTACACTTCAATATTAAACCCACTGAAACGGTATAATTATGAAAAGTCAGGTGCAGTTACCGAATGAAAATTGTATCTTTTATCGCGTTCACCTCTGGCATTAGAGAGGGCTCCGGGTCACTTACCTGGCTAATATCATAGACTGGCACGCTCCAACAGATTACGTCACTTCCCATTTACTAGCAAAACTTAGATTTCATACTGGGAAAATCTTTTATTTGCTAGAATCTAAAAATATTATTATATTTTGCCCGATGGAATTTAGACATATGTAGATGTAATCTATAGAAGCGATATTCTAAAAGTAAAAATTAATAAAACACTATTTTGACCGGATTGAAGTTATGTATTATTATAAATTTACAACTATTTAACATAATTTTAAATTTATCCGACGTTTCGCGTGCTTTCGTCGTATTTAACGTCGGATAAATTTAAAATTATGTTAAATAGTTGTAAATTTATAATAATACATAACTTCAATCCGGTCAAAATAGTGTTTTATTAAATGAATAAAAGTTATGTTAATCAAAGACAATACTAAGTAAAAATTATGCAATGTTTTACATTTTGCTTATACTGTTACTACTAACACTAAACTTACTAAACATTCAAATTCTTTGAAATCCACTCCAAATCTATTCTTAATCATCCGTATAATATTTAGTAGACAAATAGTAGAAAATAATAAGTATTATATTTAGGTTCCGCCAAAGTTATATAAGTTCTTCAACAAGAAAAAACATTGGACCTTTTAATGTCAAGCCAAAACTTAATAAATTTTTACCTAAGAAAATAAATATAAACTTTTATCCTCATAGTAAGTCTGAGCAGGTAGCGTTTTATTATCTTTAGGCAGCCGAATGTGCTAACGGTGTCGAAAACGCAAAAATGCATGCATTCGTGCGAGGTGAACCGTGGATATTACACGTTAGGAAAGTTTAGAAATATAAAAAGAATTGTTAAAAAACTTACGTCCGTGCCGTACGAATAACAGTAAATTACCTGGTGGCTAAAATTTATAACAACTGCCAAATACGTGTAAAAGATATATTATATATATAACGATTTATTAAATACAATATTATAAGAAGTGACGAACATTTTTTTAAATTAAATCACATTACACTTAACTATTTACTTTATTGTTTCTTTTAAACGCGCTAATCTCAAGCTTATCAACTACCGCATCAAACTAAAAAAATATTTTGTTGGATAGGCAAATTGCTATGACCGAACTGACGAGAGTCAAGTCGCTAGACACAGCTTGTGTACGCATATACTCAACGAAAAATAAATTCTAAAGGCGTATACATAAAAACATTTTAAATGCGACTCTGAAATTCCGGGTTATAATGTAGATAATCATGAGATTTCTCGTTTAACGTATCGAGGCGGCAACGATAAATCTCTCGCAATGACAACTTATCGCTTTCTGCAATCTGAAGTTTCTTATCAAAGAAATGTATCCATTTTGCCTTCAACTGAGGATCTTGTTAAACCAGTACAATGATTTTAAACAACTTAAATAATAAGAGTCATTGTATTGCTGCATATCCATATTTGATAAAGTATATTAGATGATAATTATTGTAGGGTAAAGTTGATTTTAAATAATAAAAAAATCATAAAACATATAATTCATGTCTTATATTTATCATCATATAAATCATCGTCAAAAATAGTTTTTTGACGTTAATGATGATAATAAATTTTAAGGATACTAATTCTTGCAGACTAATAGTCAATATAAAAATTTATTTGTGAATTAAATATGTCAAAAAAATTTAAAAACTTCAGCACTGAGTTATCCTTAATATTCAAACATAATAATAGTAAAGCCATATTATTGTCATATTACATACTATATAGGTATATAGATACCTATTGACTTTTATTTTATTTTTTCATACGTAATTTTTTAACTATAAAATATCTATCAATAGAAAAATTGCAATAAGCCATTATGATACCATTGACTTATCACAGACTAATTTATAAAGAAAATTATTTATGTTAATTATTAATACTTATTTTAATTGTGTATTAAGTCACTAATTGAACCTTTCACAATAGAGGCAATCAGTAGCTAAAAGAGAAATATAATAGCTAATTAAATTCAAAAAATTGAGTATGGCTGCAAGGCGAATTACTTAATCATAATGTTCCAAAACATTTTAATTACTTAATCTAGCCTTTTTTATATGCTGTTAAGGTATAAGATTTTAATAGTTCTTCTATAATAGTCCCACATCCATAATTCAAGGGATTGCTTAAATGTGTTGTGTTTAACATATATTTTAAAATGAGATAATATAAATATTGACATTTGACTGAACTTGAACTATATCCATATATCCAACATACCTATAGGATAACTAGAAGTAGAACCTGTTTCAAAGATAAATTTATCCTGTAAAGATATAGATTCCCATTTCCCATGCTAAATCTTTAGTAGAGGGGATAGTAGCATTAGTGGTTAGTTTCAATGCTTTTATACTTTTACACAGCACTATTTTTGAAAAGTAATAACTACTATTGATCCATCTAGGTGATATAATGATTTACTAGTTCTACATTATGAAATTTGATATGTTAAGTAGTTTCAGAGTTTTCGCATAAATATAAATCTGACAATCACAAACTTGCCTTCTTTGACATTCTTTGAAGACTGTGAAGACGAAACTCCGGGTATTTTATCACTAGCACAATTCATTGTATTCACGTCCATTGAACAACATTCACAAGTTCTACTCATGGATCACTATAAGGCATAATATTTGCAAATTTTATTTTATTTATAACTATTGTTTAAAAAGAACTATAACAGTACAACGCGGCGGCCATTCAACGTTCCGATTGTAAATAAAACGCCGTAGACAATTGACAGCGGTTGGCAACTGGCAATTAAACGATTGTCAAAAAAAAACATATTATGATTTAAAGAATTTAGACTGCTTTAATAATCATTACCACAAACAATCTATGCTATATTGTATTTCGATAATTTTCATTATTAAAATGCTCTATATCACAATATTCAGTTATCCATATATCAAATCCAACGCTAAAAATTATAAGTCGAAAAATCATTGTCTTTTAACATAAAGTCATACATCAACTGTCAACTATCAATCTTTTATCATATTGTGTGACTTAATCCAGCTTTCAAGAACTAAACCAATTAGAAAAGCTATATTTTAATGTTTTTTTGTTATAATTATTAAAGAGTTCCCTTTTTTATTCTAAATATGATGCAACATCAATACTGGGTGACTAAGAAGACTGTTTTAAAAAAACTAGGTACTAAAGAAGATGAATGTATTGTTGCTTCCGATGCTGAACTCGACGCTAAGTTAGAGTTATTTCAATCAATATCAGACAGTTGTTTGCAATTGCAACGTATACTAGATCAGTATCAGGAGCGTTTATGTGTGTTAGCGCAAGAGGAAAATTCACTTGGAAAATTTCTTCGTGATGCTGGAAAAAGCAATGATGCCGCCGGGAAACACATGATTTCAGCTGGAAAAGCAATATCCTACACGGGACAGCAACGTGTAGCTGTGAGAAGTCCGCTCTTAAGATTATACCATGAAGTGGAAACATTTAGAATTCGTGCTGTTAAAGATATGAGGATGACAGTGTCTGCTATGGAAAAAGCGCGTATTGAATATCGAGCTGCTCTGAGTTGGATGAAATCCAGCAGTGCGCAGCTGGATCCAGATACCGGTCGCGGTCTTGAAAACTTTCGGAAAGCTCAGCGACAAGTAAAGGAGAGCAAAAAAATATTTGATAAGCTTACCTTGGATGTTTTACAAAAGGTATTATTGGTTTATGTGACTTATCATATGATAAACAAATATAATGTAGCTATTATATATCCCAGAATGGCAGTCTGTCTAGTGCATGCTATTTTTGAAATATAATATTTTATTTTTCTAAATACAGTGTAAACTCTTTATAACGTAAAGATGAGTAAAATTTGTATGGTTTAACACTACACTACACACTTGAAATTCGTTTAAAGAGTTTACACTGTAGTTCAGTTTAGAATTTATAATTTTTGAATATTTTGGTTATATGTTTTAGTGGGTAGTGATCTGTGATACTAAAGTAAAATAAATAATTATCTGTCATTATTACAGATAGATTTATTAGCTGCAGCCCGATGCAATATGTTCTCCCATGTTCTATCAAACTATCAAAATTCTTTTCTGAGTGTCTCTACAAAAGTTGCACAAACTTTAAGTGGCACCATTGAAAGTATGAGCTCATCTCCCCAATATGAATTTTGCATCTTGAAAACTCTATCCGATAATGGCAATGATGGAGAGACACAGGATAAGGATCAACTTCTTTTCTTTCAAGTGAGTATATTGTGGGTTTTTGATATTGCATTTCAACTAAACCCCCAATTATCTTGATTTTTATTCAAAATCTTTTTTTACATTCAGTGTGAATTTTCTCTGCATGTTTTTGATAATTTCACATTACTTATTTGTTTTAAGAAAAAGTTATAATTATAGGATGAGTACAAAGACAATAATCTTGATAAATCAGAGAATTCTGAAAAGTTGAACCACAATGACAACGAGAACCAACCGTCCACAGCCATAGTTGCAGATTTATCTGACAGTCTTATTAATACAGAAAGTGACACACAGGATAATAGTGTTGAAATAAGTGCAGACTTGGCGGGCTTGAAGTTAGGTGGGGGTGACATGCCTGCAAATTTTGCATTTATGCCTTCACAACTTCTCCAAGTAAGTTTCAATTGTTATAACATTATAAGTGCTATATTAATTAACTTCTTAATAAGCAAGTATTGATACATAAGAAATATGAGTAGAGAATTTACAGATATAATTTACTTATGATAAATTTCAGGACTTTGCGGGATTTATGGAAACACCGCTTCAACCACAAAGCTCTCAAAATGAAAAAGATAAGATTTCTGTAACTCAAAAAATTGCTCAGCCTCTACCAGTACCAAAGAAAGAAGATAAAGTAGCATGGTTTAAGCTCTTTGCAGAATTAGATCCTCTTGCAAATCCTGATAACATTCCTGGAACTAATAATAATCAAAGTCATGCAGCTTAAGTATTCGTCTTAAACCTTCTTACTTCTATTAATATTAAAAAGGACATATTTTTCAATAGTTAAGAAGTTAATTTTAGCATTATTTTTCATGATTTTTTCATTTGAGTGCAGTAATAATATATGCCGTCTTCAATATATTTTTCTAAGGAGACCTACAATTTAATTGCAGTACTTCAAATTTCTCGAAATAATATTTTCATAAATTCTATTAAAATCCCATGATTTAGTTTTAGTTCTAATCTAAAAAGTCGTGTTAATATATAATATACAAGTAAAATTTATAATAAGTAAAATTAGCAAGTATAAATATTTTGCTTTTTTTCATATTTATGGGTTTCCAAATAGTGCTAAGATCTGTAAAAATCTCAAAGTACAAATATGTGTTATAAAATGTTGATGTGGCTTAGTTTATACTGCAACAGTCATTTGTATTGATCACCAAAATCATGAAATATCTAAAAATAATTATATGTTCTTATCCTAACCTACAACTTTGTTTACTAAAACAATGCATGTATAATTCCTGCAAGCTTGTGTTATTTCTATTCTATCTAATACAATTGTAGATAACATAAAATATTGTACAATGTATTAACCTCGATTTACATAAAACCTGATAACTCTAAAAACTCTGTAAGCAAACATGCACATACTTTTTACTTTATTTCATAACAGTTCATTGCATTAAGAATAAAAATAGAATCACGATACATGAATGGGAAGGGACTGAGTTGCCTTATCCCTAGCAAGCAATTTCCTTCAGCCCTAATAAAGAAAATGCTGATGGGAGAGTACAAAAAGTGCATAACTTAAAAAAAATACTGCAACAGTATACAAGTATAAAATTTATGTTTTCAAACATTCCATTATAGGCTGTACAGTGTACACTACTTATTAAACAAACTTTTTTTAATATAACTAAGCAAATTATTTTAGTGCTTTATTATTTTTATTGGATAATATTTAGACCCATGGAACTGGGTTTATGTACAACTTAGTACTACTAACTAGTCAACATTGAGGCAACAAAACCAAAGATATACCTACCTATGTAGTTTTGTGATGTATTTTATTAGAAGCTATGTTTAATATTATAACTATAATTGATTTATTTTGTATTTTCTTTGTAATCCATATAATGTAATGTGTATTAAATGTTATGTACTGAATTGTATGTTTTTTTTTAAATTTTACTATTAGTGAAATTATCATGCAAACTACATAATTTACTTATCTGCCTCTGGCTTAGTGCTTAACGTAGGTACATGGCGTACAACTTGGTGGTCCTGGGTTAAAATTTAGCTGATTCAATAATTGACTGACAAAGAAACAAAAGAATGATTATCTACTTGCGTTATAAAAATTAATAAAATGGAAAAAATATTGTTATAATAAATAGCACCTCTTCAACTCGTAAATAATTACTAGATAATATTAAACAAATAATGGTTCCAATACCCCTTTAATAAAAACACACCATAAGATGACATAATATAGGGGAAGGTAGGGACCCTTCGTACGGTTTTCACATTTTATTTTTTATTTTTCCATGAATCAATCACCTGATAGCTTAAATTTATAGTCTATCTGAGATTCATAAAAAAAAATGACAAATGATTTCAACTTATGGTTCAACCATAATTATGATTTAAACTAAATCTGGAATACGTACGAATCTGCCCCATCAACGGGGCACCTTCGTACAGTGTTGGGGGTACCTTCGTACGCTGTGGGGTAGTGCGATTAAAACGACACATATAAATCAAAATTCATTTATTAGCAATAAAATTAAACACAAAAATAAAGATTTAATTTCTATCAAAAAAAATAAAATACTTTTCTTATAGTGAACAAAAATTACATAGCTTTTCTTATGTAAAACAAAATTTAATTAGTTAGGTATCATAAATTTAGAATCACATTTCTTAACCTTTGGTGTGGATTAGCACTTCTTATTTTCGGGTGTGGCAGTATAAATTCGTGGTTTTCCCGGCCGTCATCGTCATTTTGTCTGTTTTATTACTTCTTACAACATGCGGAATGCATTCATAGGGTCGAAATGCCTCTGGTGTCAAAACTGACTTCGAAGGAACTACTGTTTGATGGATTGGTAAATTATTCAAAGCATCTGGTTCACAAGCATCAAAATCAACCTTAATAAAGATAATAAGAAATAGGTATTAATATATAATATATTTACATCGACGATAGCAAAAATAGCAACACAGGACAAAGTTAATTTAGTTAATGCAAAAATTAGCAATTAGCACACTAACACAATCGTACCTACCTACCAGAGGGTTTGTTTAGTCAAGAATCAAGATGCCTTAATAGTAGTGTATGTAGAAAGTCAAAAACTTAATTTGTATGAAAATGACAGTTCGTGTCGACAAATTTTCATACAAATTTAGTTGTACAATTCGTTTAAATGTGCCCCATCTAGTGCTGTCCGAAACTACCCCACTAACTGAATAACAACAAAATATAACTTATTTAAATATTAATAGGAAAACGTCATAAATTAAGTAAGTATTGGAGACGTATCTTAAGTATATTTTGCTAGTTACTGATAGAATACTCTACACGAAAACTTATTTGATCTACGGTAACAAGAGACAAAAACATTGATTAAAAAATTACTTGCCGAGCGCGAAAACACGTCCATGCCTGTAACTTCACTCTCATCTAGGGATGTGAAAAAATAATCGATTATTAAAAAAATCGATTTTTTTTAAAGTAAAAATCGATTTTTGTACGCGATTTTTATATTTAAAATAATCGATTATTAATCGATAGGTATACCCTATAATATATATACCCCACAGCCACCAATCTTGCGCGTTCTGTTATTGAAGTGTGACCTTTAAGCTTTTGGAATTCAGATTTGCAAAGAGGATCATGCCAGCTCCTTTGAAAATTGACGCTAGAAGGCAAACTCAAGCCTGGGTTGGATGCTAATCACGCGTTTCTCGCATCTGTTAAATCCACAATCTCGTAGTTTGTAGAATAAGATCTAAAGATTTGACCTACCAGACTGCTAGGTTTGTGAGCAGATGTGAGAAATGCTGGAAGAGCTACACTTGTTATCTTGCGTAGGTACTCCTAATCCGCCAAAGCGAATAGAAAGCGATGCTTGATTACAAGAAGGTATTTCAAAACGACCATTTAAAATAAATTCCAAAGAAGTTTTTAAAAGATTATCCAAATCTCTTAATAAAACTGAATGATTCCATAGAGTACATAAGTTAATTTGGGAATAAAAAGACAGAATTTTAAAATGAACCGCTGCTGCTGGTCGGTAATATCCAGACGACGGTGAGAAAGATCTTTTAATTTGATATTGTCGAGTTAATGTATTCTTCAAAAGCTTCTTTGAAAATCGGTGAGAATGCCCCTAAGAGGTAGAGCGATTTTTGAAGTTATACTTCTTTAGGCGCGTTATGAAAAATTTATGAGAGTGAAATTTTACGATGCGCGCGCACCTGTGACACAAAATTGGGAAGGGTGATTATAGCGTGCGCGAGCGAGATAGGAATAAGACAATCTACAAGTAAAAAGAAATAGAATATGCGTGAAGTTCGTATGCCAAGAATTTTGAATGACCATAATGACATTTGTCATTTACCTTTTAAACAAATAAAGGAGTTTTGATTAATTTTTCAAAGAAATTTATTAATTTTATATTGTGCAATACTGCCAAAGCTACAACATACTTCTTAGTGTTTGGTAGAGATGTTCTAAATATATAATTATATATACTTTTAACTAAATAGAATTTATGTTACACTTAATGTAAGAGAATAATAATAAATAATTATTTATTTAATTTTTCAAATGTAAACTGAACTTAATTGACTATAATGACTCCGTTTCCAGTCTTTGATTATTTAATTGTAATTAATTATTTGCATGCAATCAAAAATATTTTTAATAATGCCAAAGAAGTATAACTTCTTACGCGCGTACATAAGTACACGCACCCTTTTTTTATTTACTTTTTTTATTTTTGGGGCTAAGGTATTAATTTTTTTTTATTGTCTTCGGTGTCCATATTCTCACAATTGAAATATATTTCACATATTTTATCAAAAGTTAAAGTTAAATAAAAATCTGATATAATCTTAGATCTGAAAGTACTACATCTGCGTTACCTCCTAGACTCTAGAGTACCAAAATATGAATTTAGGAAAATCTCGATATCCTATGATTTTAAATATACAACACATGAAACGCGGTGTAAAAAAGTACGTTTCTATAGAAAACATGGTGTCTAAAGCGGGCCATAGACGGACCGCATGTTGCAGTCGTTCTTGACGGTTTGCTCAGGAACTGCTCGAGCGGTCCGTGTATAGCGAATATGAATTTAGTATGAAAACTGCAGATCGCCGTGCGGCGACCGCATGTTGCAGTCAAGACCGACAGGAGTTGACAGGACATGCGGTCCTTCTATGGCCCGCTTTAGGCCTGTCACTCTGAATTTCGAAAGAAAATTGCATGATGTCATTATGTTTCAATATACCTAAACTGTCATTTATTTAAAATTGTCATTGTCATTTATTCAAAATAAAAAATACCTTAAATAATTAAACGTCTACGAAAAGGTTGTTTATTTAAATATATCAAAATTCATAAACAAAACACACGGGTTTTTATCCAGAAAATTCTACGGATATTCAGATCAGATTCATGCCACCAAGTGCCAACTCCTACAGAATGTTTTCCCTAAAAACAACTCCAAATACCCCTAAATATCGATTAAAACATCAAAAAGTTTTTGATGCATGTCGGTTGGAGATATTTTCAAATATGCATCAAAAATAAATTCAAATAGTATAAAATTTAGTTCTTGGAGTATTTTAGTTTTTTGATATTTCAGTAGCGCTTGGAGTTTTGTCGGTTGGGTTCTAGGCTTTCTTTTTCCTTCATCCATCTGCTTTCTGCCTAATACCCAGTCAGTTCCATGTTACGAAGCTTATTAGCATGCTCTTTCTTGGCTTTCATATGGTCTTGCCAGGTGCATGCCCATGTATTTGGCTGTAGTCCGTTTTGGCAAGACAGCTCATTCCAGAGACACCGGTAAGCACTCTTCTTCTTAATGTGAACTTGATATGGATTGATTTCGCTGGGGTTGCACGTATCCTCCACTTTTTTAGTCATAATCCTATTTTATCAAGGCATTCCTGTAGTTTTGCAAATGCTTGGATCTTTATTACATGAAAGGATTGACACTGCAATCTGCATAGGTTGTAATCACAACATCGTCCGACTGAGCCCTGGGGCACTCCTGCTTCTTTTTGGCAGATTGACAATAGATAATCCTAAAATTTGACGCGGAGAAATATATATAATAAATGTGGTTTTGCAAATAAGATATCAGTAGAAGGAACGCAGTGTTTGGAAGGTACAACTTTGCCTTACACAGGAGACCCTTCGATGTTGTAGGTATATCGAGAAATACTGCTGAACTTTAAAAACTGTTAGCTAGGGCTTGCCGTATGTATTGTATGACTAACACGATGTATTTGCTCCATTACTCCGTGAAGGGTACGAAAGCCGAATCGGTGGTCAGGTATTACTTTTTTGTTTATTGGTTGAAGGCGACTAAGGACTTTTTTTCTCAAATACTTTTGATAGCAAGGGGAGAAGAATAATAGGCCTGTATTATGAAACTTCAGGAGGAGGTGTTCCGGGTTTTGGAACCATGTTTATAATGTAATAATTAAATTCCACAGTTTTGGAAAATATTGTTATATTAATCTTAATATTTCGTTAGAGGATTGAACACAGAACGATAAATTTTTTCGATAGTTTTTTAAGTAGGTACTTCTGCGGTAATAAGCTCGAAACCTGGTACTTTTTTTGTTTTAAATTATTAATAGTTTTTTTTATTCTGACGGTGTAATAAGTATTAGTGGTGCTGGTGTGCCACTGTCGTCTTAGTCTCTTCGTAGCAATTGGTTCTTTTATTTGGGGTATGTATGAACTTTGTGTTTTAGGTTCTTATAGGTATGGGGTCGATAGCTGTGCTGCTTTCTGTATAATATTACTATACAAAAAGCAGCATGTCAGCATTTTGTATTAGCTTGCACATTCACTGAATGAATCAGAGTTTTACCAGTTTCTTGTCACGTATACCGACTTTAATGTACAAATAAGTTCACTTCACACCATTTGACTTTAGTCTTCTTCATTATTTTTGTGTTGAGCAGCGCACAATTCCTCCATTTTAGGCTATTCTTTTCAATGAAATTTAACTCACTCGGATTGAGCTCTGTGTTTTTGAGAATTACTAATGCCTTATGCTGTTACAATATTTCTACGCGGAATACTATTTACACTATTTTATCTCGTGATTTTTGATTCTAGGTTTTATATAAATTGTATGGAATCGTCCGTTTTCTAAGAAAATAGAAAAGAAAATGCCTCCTAAAAACTCCCCAGGATTTTCCACCTATATTTGGGAAAACCCTCAAGTTGGCATTTCTGATTGAAATGGAAGGTGTATCCTATTAAATTAAAAAAAAAAAAAAAATGGATCAGATCGGATACACTGACTGACACTTGACAATGCCAGGCGGCTGTTAGATTTTTATTTCATGATTTTCCTAGTCTGTGCTAACAACATCGAAGGGAGAAAACATGAAAATGCTCATTTAAAATTGTTTCAAGTAAAAATAATAGTTCTTCTGTAAATCTGTATTAAAAGCATAAAATTCTCATTAAAATAATAACGTAAACAATGTTTAACTCGTGTAAGTAGAACTTAGATTCTTGAACAAAAAATACATCAGATCTTTTTTACATATTTTATATGCTCTTTTTATGTGATATTTCTTTTTAGTTTTTCGCAATTGGCTCGGAACTGAAGATCCACCAACAAAGGTCATCGAAGTGCGACCGGATAATTATGTGTCCAGACCAATATATTATAGGGATGATTCAATGTTGTTATATGGTCCAAAGACCCCCAATGATGGGAAAAATTCGAAAGATAAATTCTATGAAATTGTCTTACATAAACCCTTTACAGAAAGCTTGCATCAGATGTACAGGTTTGAACTTTTGATTAATAGTATAAGACATTAAGAAGTACTATTAATTTAAGATAAGGATAATTATGTATTTTTAAAAATTTCTGCATTTTAGCTTATTTCGATCAGAAAGTCGTGAAATTTCTGAAGAAAGATTTATTACATTCAAAGACAGAATACCAGTTTATGTTAAAATTACTAAAGAGGTAAGTGAAATGTGAATGCTGGAGTTTAATATTATTATCATTTCCATGTTAGGGTAATTTTCCCAATTATGTGAATATTTTCTAAAGATAATTAGCATTCATTTGTATTTTATTACTTGTACTTGTGTCTTAATATTTTTAAAAAATAAATCTCAAGTTCAGAATTTTTTAAATTTTTGTTTGAAAAATCAAAAGAGTAGTGATGTGATGTATATTAGTTTTTTTGTTATGTATTTCAGTGTACAGTCCCAAGTCTTCAAAAGCTTTGTGACATTCTCAGCGAGCATAACTCGTGGACTGTGGCACACATAGTTGCACATTTTGGCCAGTATGAACTTCTTAATGAACCAGATGTTCAGAGACACATTAATGAAGTTGACCCTGTTACAGGAGCCTCTGCACTTATGGTGAGAAGAATTATTAAGTTTAAAAATATATATATATAAGATTTATCAGAAAAAATAACATTGTGACACCATCATCATTAACTGCTGGGGATTTTTATTACTTGTAATAGACTTAGTTAAGAGCCGTGTCAACTAATAATGTCTACATGCAACTCTTAACACTAAGATTGTGAGATCAAACCCATGTCTTAATTACATTTAAAAATTGAGAATTTAACAATATTGGATTTATTTGTTTGGCCAGTCCAATTCTTAATTATAACTATTCCAGTTTATTATTAATCATTCATTTATAAACAAATTATTGAATTGAAAAAAACGAGGACATGCATTGCAGGTGGCAATTAGAACAGGTAATGTACGAATGGTACAGAGCCTTATATCAATCAATTCATCTCTGGATATAATTGATCACGACCACAACTCTGTATTTCATTATGCCGCTGCAAGTAACAAAGAAGTTATTAATGTAAGTGCTTTTTGATTCATATTAAAGATTTGCTATTAAATGTTTGACTATAACACAACTTATGTAGCATATAAATAAAAAAAATAAACATTAGCTATCTAAAATTTTTAAATTCCAATTATTTATTGTTTGTGTTTTGAGTACATCTAGTGGAGTAAGGATGTTGCACTGTTTCCTCTAAGGGAACGTTCAAGTATTACGTAACGAATTTGGGGGGGTGGTCCTTTTGTAAAACGTTACGATACGGGGCGGGGATTGAATTATGCATTATTGTTAATATTATTTTCGACTTTCCAGTACATTACACCACATAATGGTAACTTTTAGGTAAAAAGAGTCACTAGGTGGTCACGAAACTTTTTAGTATAGTTGGCTACAGTACTGTACTCGGGTACCAAAAAAGTTACGTCGCGTTACATTTGGGGGGGTCAATAATTTGCAAAAATTGCGTGACGTAATACTTGAACGCTTCCTAACCTAAAGGGAGGATACTCAGTCTCGCTACTGACCGGCCACTACCAAGGGTCCAATAGGTCGAGAGATTGTAATATCGATTAGAAACATTACTTACGCGATATGACGTAATCGCACTGTTTGTTGTACAAACAAAAAATTAAGATTTTTTTCTAAATTTTACATTGCTATGTTTTCGTCCATAATTTAATAATAAAAACTTTATTCATGACAGAAGGGTTTGTGACAGAAATCATAAATCGCTAGTCCCCACACTAGGGAGGCCCTGTGTTGTAGGTAACTAGAAATTTGTTACGTTACCAATGACACAGAAATGATGCATTTCTATTTCTGCAGGCCCTTGCCAGCAAAACATCGAAATTCCTTAACTTATTCAACAAGCAAGGGTACACACCGCTACACATGGCTTGTCTCGCAGACGCGCCTGACTGCGTCCGAGCCTTATTAATGGCTGGAGCTGATGTGAATCTAACAGCCGCCAAACGGACTGCTAGCAATTCACAGGCTATTCCAGGTATAATACCGTATTCCGCTCTTCGGGCTGTAGCTTGTATCTATGGCGAGTAACGTAGGAATTTACCTATTTATAAGTTCTAAAACAATGTAGAAAAATACAAGAAAATATGACATCACAAATTTAACACACACCAATAACATTAAAATAAACAAACAGCGACAAAATAAAAATTAATAATAATAATAACTTAAACCTCATTAAGAGCATGATAAACAAAGTTACGGTAAGTTGGAAGACTGTTGTAAAATATATCATTATTTTCATCAATGTAAGTAATAAAGTTGTAAGAGCGAGATAGCCACTGGACCATTAAGAGTAGCAGATAAGCGAGCCGTAGGTACGTATAGAAGACTTTAATTCTAGTAACTCTAGGATTACAAATAAAGAAAAATTATATTAGAGAATGTGCGGGAAAAGAATGTTGTGGGATATCAGGTCGCAGTGCTAACTTTTTTATTAGTACAAAGTCATTATAGTTCGACTGTAATCATCTCAATTAATATGAAAAATTTAAAAGAATTGTTCGAGAATCGATTGACGCGTATATTACTTCGCATAATCACCGGTTCGCACAGACTACAATGACCATAATATTGTTAGCAAACCATATTTATTCAAAAGGTAAAATAAATAATAATGCGTATCTTCTGTTATTAATAGGGTGTTCCACCTCAGTTGATGTTTCACAGCGAAAGAGCAACTTGTATTCAATTTAAAAATAAAACTGTACATTTTTGATTAAAAATGTGGTAATTTTTTAAAAAAAATCGATAATAATAATACAAACGCTAGCTAACCAACTGTAATGAAGATTAGAATGTTGAGAAGTTTTATAATGTTGGATTTTAAATCACGATCTTGAACTCAAAAGTGTTGTAGTTAACTCTTTAGTGTTTAAAAGATGAAATGTCATTATGGTTTCAAATTCTTGTATGCACTTCACGAATTCTTTTGTTTATTGACACAGCATTCACATGCGCTTAATGTTAGCCTGTGTAAACTACAAACGTAGGCTGCAAGGCACAGAACCGATTTATACGCCGTATTCAGGACTGCTACTCCATTTAGAATGTAGATTTAAGATCCTTGCTGGTTTAGTTCTTAGGCTTTTATCCTTGTTTAAGTATACCACATACCATGGTGCAATGGCAATTTCAGACCAATTAAGATCCTTGTGAATACTTTCATTTTTGCATTGGCAATTTCCCGAAGAACCTTGTTCTGAAACCTTTATGTCTTCACTGTCAAGAACTACTGTTAGCCCTTGTTGGTGTTTTAGAAGGCCAGTTGCGTTCCAGGCCAGAATTTTTAGAATGTTGGTCATTTTTGGACATTCAATGTTTCGGAGTATTTTTTCTAAGCCTTTAATGCCTGACACGTCGACGTTTTCAACACGTACATGTACAGACGGGTTCGAACTGACCCTGCAGCACTCCTTAAAAAAATGTTTAGCTTCAAACAGACGGCTCATTGGTCTAGAGGTTAGTACCTCTGACTGCGAATCCATGAGTCCCGGGTTCGATCCCCGGCTGAGACAAACATCGATGTGATGAGCATTTGGTGTTGTGCTTAGGTCTTGGGTGTTTAAATATGTATTTATATGTGTTAGGTCTATCTATGTATAATATGTATGTATATCCGTTGCCTAGTACCCATAACACAAGCTTCACCAGCTTAGCATGGGGAGCGTTCAAGTATTACGTAACGAATTTTTTTCCTTTTGTAAAACGTTACGATGCGGGGCGGAGATTGAATTACGCGTTATTGTTAATATTATTTTCTACATACACCACACAATAGTAACTAAAGAGTCACTAGGTGGTCACGAAACGTTTTACTAGACATGGGAACAGTACTGTACTTGGGTACTGAAAACGTTACGGCGAGTTACATGGGGGGGGGTCAATAATCTCCAAAAATTGCGTTACGTAATACTTGAACGCTCCCATGGGACTGACTAGGTCAATTGCGGGAATTGTCCAATCATAAAAAAAAACGGTAAAACCCATTATGAAACCCTAATAAATTAGGGAATACCTCTTCTATATAAGGCCTAATGTTTCCCATATAAAACTAAACAATAAACTATTATATTTTACGACACATTGTGTGAGTAATTTAATAGGTACTTATGATATAGATTTTGTATCATTTTTAATATATTTGTCTTACGAATACGTTGTAAATAATTTATAATGAATCATCATAAGTGTATTCTTGGTGAGATATGCAGTGAGATATGCAGTAAGTTTCGTTTATATATATTTTTATATAGTTCGTGCTTGTATGGAATACACAAATACAATAACTGCAACTACAATAACAGGTTAAAAAGTGCAATTGTTATTAACAAATGAAAAAAAAAATGATATTTCGTTTTTTGTTAAGCACTCAAATTTTAAACTAAATAAAAATTTATAGGACAATTATTTATACCTTTCATCCCATTGTTTATGCCAATGGAGATTGGGAAAAAATTTGTTAGTTAACAATTGAATAACTTTTTAAAAATGGTGATTAAACTATTTATTCTTCAGGTCTCGATTCTTTCAAGTGTTAAGAAGATACTAGAATTTTTCAAATTTTTAAAATCCCATTTTAAGTTATAAAACAAATATTTTTATTGCTAAACTCTCTTTAGCGACGGCGCGTGCATGCCGTAACAGCCGCGCGGAGCCCTATTTTCAACGTCTAATTAAAATTATAAATAACGGAGACAGAGTTCCGGGAGCCCGGACTCTTTTTATTGAAAATTTCCTCCTCTTTAACGAGTTTTTTTCAAAATTGCTTAAATGTTAATATTATTTGAGTTCTTAACAAAAAACGAAATATCATTTTTTTTTCATCTTATTTTGTTAATAACGATTACAATTTTTAACCTGCACCAAAATCCTTCAAAAACATTTTTCTAGAGGTGATTCCGAATCGAATGAGCCATCGCTCATATTTTTAGGACCTTTATCTCTATTTTTCACGTTTTTGAACTTGTTGACTAGACTATAAGTTCTGTTCGGACAGCACTGAATTATATAAAATTGGTAGATATAGAAAAAGTATCCATACATGCAGAAATCTTAAGCCAAGACTGGTGAAGGTGCTTGTCTCTGGAAATATATATCAAAAATGTCTTATCATGTGCAAATGTCCGGTCATATATTATAACGACATACTTGTTTAATACCTCGTTATTTATAATATAACTTCTGATACAAGTGAAGAAAAGTTAGAATTCCACCCGTATCACCTCGACTTCTGTCGTTCCGAAACTGAGCGTTATTTGAAATAAATTTTACCGCGCACACTGGAACAATATTAAAAGGCCAGCAACGGACACGCGAGCCTTCTGGAATTGAGGGACGGTGGTTAACTTTTTAGAACAAAAGACACATTTTTAACCAGATTTTATCATCTTAATTTTTACAATCGTTTCATAAACACGCGCTGATATTAAATTCCTATTAATTTCAGGTGTAGTTGGCGATGTCGTCCAAAACAATCGATCCAAACTATTCGAAGAAGACATGAAGCGTGGTGGAACGCCCCTCCACTGGGCGATTTCCCGCGAAGTGATTGATGCTCTAGTCGACAAGAACTGTGATTTTAACGCTGTCAACTTTGACGGAAGGACCGCCCTTCATATTATGGTGTTGAGGGGGAGACTGGAATGCGCTACCGCTTTGCTCTCTAGAGGAGTGGAACATTCTACAGGTATTTTTTTTCATCAAGTATAAAACTTTTTTGTGGTAATCTGTGAATTCAACTATTTAATATTTATAATCAAATGTGTTTTAAACCCCGAACAAGATATCCTGATTGAATTTCGAGAATTAAATAGTTGTCCATGACCTACATCTTTATCAAGAGATAAAACAGAAATGTGTCTGCCCCTATTATATAAATCTGATAAAATATTATTATTGTATGTGGTTTACGAGCACTATAAATTTAAATAAAACACAAATCAAAACGCGAATTAATAACATTATTTAGGTACACATTCGTTAATGCTTCTCAATAATCCCCGACAGAGACAGATAGTCATAACAAGGTGACAGATAACTAATTTATAGTGTCTATTGTAATGTTGCCATATCAACGCCGTCTACTGCCGCGAAGTTTGTTATGCAACCCAGCGGAATATTGCTTGTTTCTGTCTGTTTAAGAAGTTATTTAAACTATGTAAAACAAAAACAACTTCTCCATAAATAATAAAATAATGTATTTTTATCCACAAACAGGTGACAAAGAGGGCAACACACCTCTGCATTTAGCAGTTAAACAGCCAAACATATGCATAGTGCAGGCTTTAGTTGTGTTTGGAGCTGATTTGGAAGCGAAAAACAACGCTGGTTTCACCGCAAGGCATTTGGTACCAATTGAAATGGCGAATAGTGATTATGATAGGATTCTGTACGTTTTGCATTCCGTTGGGGCAAAGAGGTAAGTTTAATCGTACATAGAAATCAATATTTTTGCTGTAACACTTATGATATTTATATGTCGAAGATTCGTTCCACAACTGAGCGTTTCTTATGAAAGTTTTTGTCGCGCAACACCACTTTATGGAACCAGCCGCCCACTGAAGTATTTCCGAACCTATTCGACTTAGGGTCTTTCAAGAAAAGAGCCTACCAATTCTTAAAAGGCCGGCAACGCATTTGCGAACCTTCCGTCTGTTTGAATGTGCGGGGCCCGTTTGCCTCCTGTAACATAAATAAAAAATTATAATAATGTAATAATGATACAGGATGTCATTTATTTTATTTGAATGGCAACACCAGTCAATATCATAGATATCTTACAAGTCATAAATTGTCAATGTCAATGTGTCAATCTTCCGTATGACGAAGTCAAATAAATTATTGACATACGGCAATCAGACTTAGCGATATCTTGTTCCTGAATCTATGTACAACGAATTTACGCATCGTCATCTCAAACAAGAGATTAGACCAAATTCTTTTTGATTCTTACTGTTACCAACCAGATGTACCTCGGACATCTCTGGTTGTCGTCCATCATGTTCCTCCAGAGGGGAGTATAATGGGGTCCCACCACCACCTATAGCAAGGTCTTCCACTCGCGATATGGTCTGCAGTATGCTTACCGCTTCTACCATGGACAAAGCGGCAACACTGGGGACACTGAAGAATGAAGGACGGTATGTATTGGTATTCCATCTCTATCTATGAGTCTTCTGCTCCGGCACCGACCCGTAAACCTTAAAAAATTATGCCTAAATCTTCCTCATGAATCATAGATATTGGTGAATCGTGCAATAAATTTTATTTAATTTTGACGCACTCGGGCTCACACAAAGGGCTCGCCCTTTGACATTGAGAGTCACCATGGGCTATCACTAACATAAGGTGAGCCTCCTGTTCTATAAAAAAAAGAATAGATAGATAGACGTTGCGGAGCACTTGCTTTTATCTAATATTTAAAATTCTCGTGTCACGGTGTTTGTAATTAAACTCTTCCGAAGTGGCTCGATCGATTTTCGTGAAATTTTGTGTCCATATTGGTTAGGTTTGCGAATGGGACATCATCTATTTTTCATTTAGGGGAAAAATTAAAAATACATATATTATGCTATCGCTGACTGTATCTAGCTCAAGAATGCAATGATATATCTCTCATCGTTAAGGGAGCGTTCGTAAGAAACGCAAATCGAACTAACAACAAAAATTATTATCAGTTTTCGTGTTATATATCACACTCAGAAATAACGTGGCTATATTGTCCCCTCACACTATAAAATGGATTTTTGTTTAGTTTTTTGTAATTTGAATTTTTTCTTTGATTAGTAATTGTTTTTTTTTTGTAATGTTTGTTTTGTTTAATAATAGGTTATGATCTATATGTATGTCATGTTTGCCTTTAAGTGCTTGTCACATTAAAAATTGTATTTTGTGTTTGTTTTTACCAATGTAATGTAAATGAAAATACCCCTACAACGCGATTTCTTACAACGCGGTCCAGGTATATCGTATTATTAGGGGGATTTCTGTATTTATTTATGTATTGAATGATACGATCTATATAATATTTGGTCCCTAGCAGCCATTTAAAATAAATGAACGTTTTTCATAGTTCAGTGTGCCGAGCGTTGGCAAGCTTTTTCTCAATAAAAAAAATAAATAAATATATTGGCGTAAAGTAATTTATTATATCAGTTCAGCAGTTCCAGATATTACATCTTACAACCTCAGAAACCTTTATAATATTGGTATAGATTTTTACTGGCTTACCACTTTTTAAATATTACCCAATTTCAGCTTACTCTGCCTAGATGGAGGCGGAATACGTGGTTTAGTGCTAGTCCAAATCTTACTAAACCTCGAAGCAGCTATAGGCAAACCGATAATACACTGCTTCGACTGGGTAGCTGGAACCAGTACTGGTGGGATTCTGGCATTGGCCCTGGCCACCGGGAAGACGTTGAGAGAATGTCAGATGCTGTACTTTAGGATGAAGGAATTCGCATTTGTGGGCATGAGGCCGTACCCTTCTGAGGTGCTTGAGAACATTTTGAAGGAGTGTTTAGGTTAGTGGGTTCTAACTTACGTTACCAATTTTAGGTCTTATTTTCATCATTTTATTGAATTAATTGATATTGCATAAGGGAGCGTTCAAGTATTACGTCACGCAATTTTTGGAGATTATTGACCCCCTCCCCCATGTAACGCGCCGTAACGTTTCTCTGTACCCAAGTACAGTACCGTACCCAAGTATAGTAAATCGTTTCGTGACCACCTAGTGACTCTTTATACTTAAAAGTTACCATTATGTGGTGTAAAGTACTGGAAAGTCGAAAATAATATTAAGAATAACGCGTAAAGTTTTTCAAGAGGACCCTCCCCCTTCCTAAAATTCGCGGTTTCCGGCCTCCTATAACGCGGAGATTCCTTAAGTTATATTTCTGCAGTGTGAAATTTATAATGATTTGTCAAGTTAATTGTTAAAAAAACGGTTTTACGAAAATACCCCTACAACGCGATTTCTTACAACGCGGTCCAGGTATTTCGTATTATTAGGGGGATTTCTGTATTTATTTATGAATCGAATGATACGATCTATATAATATTTGGTCCCTAGCAGCCATTTAAAATAAATGAACGTTTTTCATAGTTATCGTAATTTCTTTGAAAACATCGAAATGGCCAGCCCTCTTCCATCTCTCCTAGTATTCACTAACAGTCAGTCCTAGATGGGCGTGCTCTGCCGCATTATCTTTATAAATGACAAAGAATGTCGAATTTGTAGAAAATTTTGAAATTTTAATTTGGGTAATAAAATTCAGGTACGGAGACCGTTATGGCGGATATCGACCATCCGAAGCTGATGATCCTGGCCGTCTTGGCGGACAGGAAGCCAGTTGACTTGCACATCTTCAGAAATTACCAGTCAGCTGAAAATATACTGTGCGAATATAATGGAACAATGAGTAAGTGTCTAACTTAACGGGAAATTTTTAAATACTGTAAAATCTGTCCATAACAGGAAAGGTCTCTGTCTGTCGGGCTGTTTTTCGAGATGATATAAAAAAACGAGTTAAGCATAACGTACAGACCCGAGCTGTAACGCAAGTTCGGCTCTGTACTTTGTGAACAACGTCTATGGTGAGAAAGTTGTCTGCTACCGCGGCTAATTAATAGATTGCCCGGTCAGTTATTAGATGGCCTAACAATAATATAAAAAAACAAGTTAGAATTATTTTTACATGCATTTGACAAGACTGCTGTTGTTATATTAATACAAACCACACTGGTTTTCAAATGTAATATACCTTGATTTAGATTGTATTATTCTGTTGTGGCATTCTGTAAGGAAGGGTCATCTTGTTACCTGCCTCCGCCCTTTAGCGAGCCGAAGATTAGTGGGTAGGTGTGAAGATATTATGTCTGAGTCCCACAAAATCCTTGCTGGAGTAAAATTCAGCAGGGATAGGCGTAAAAGCTTTCCTGACATTAAAAAAGATTGTTTATTCTGAAATACTAAACTTTACCCGAGAGGGTTCCTGATGCTTACAAACTGAAAAAAATATTTACTAACACATAAAATAATTTGATATTAGTGTATCAGGAAATAATTTAAGGCTAAAAAATAAATTAAATAAATAAATAGAAAATAAAACGACTTCAGTATCTTTTAAATTTCGCTTCACGCGGGTTACAGGTCCCTATAATCGCTAAGATGATTATATATTTATTGAATGTCTTTTTATGTGTGACTTCAGTTTACCGTCTACTGTCACGTTTGTATAAAATTATTAGTTTTGTGAAACTGTCGTAGGATACATCCAATACAGAGAGTATTGTATCATCCAAAAATCTAACTTTATTTTTGTCTTCTTTCTGTTTCTATTGAAGTGAGTCTATTTGTTCCTTAATAAATAAATTGGCAAATCAAATAAACTACTAGTATTTACCCGCTCTACGCCCTTGACTTGCGAACCGTCAAATGTAAATTTACAATTAATTTTACTTCTTTTTGACGTTCATAAGTGTACTACATATATGAATAAAGATATTTTGAGTTTGAGTTTGGTTTACGGTTTTTAACTGATTTGACTTTGAAGTTAACTTATAAGCTCGGTGACATATAATGACAATGGCAGCTAACAGTTACGCCGTTGCTCTGACATGTGATTTTTTTATTTAATCACTTAAAAGATTATGTTTATTATTACTGTAATTTAAATCAAAATAGACAAAAAAAATTCCCAATTTATATTTCACCGTCACTTTAATTTTTAATGAATAAATAGTTTTTAGCTTCAAATATTAAATAAGAACGGTTATATTCTACAATTCTCTTGTTGAGGTCCTCAAGCAGAGGCCAGCGACCGTTCGTCAGTGGAAATCCTAGCGGAGCCTCCGCCCCCCGCGGAACAGCTCGTGTGGCAGGCAGCTAGGGCTTCGGGGGCTGCGCCTTCCTACTTTAGGGCTTCAGGCAGGTACGGTATTTCGATAAACAACATTTTTTAATTAATATCAATTTTAAAAGTTTTGAAAGGGCGCATTTTATTTTTAATAATTTAGTGCTTAAAAAAATTTTCAGTGTGCAACTTCCAACTCGCTTTATTCAGTTACAGTATTCAATCATTCGTAATTTGTATGAGTCGCGGGAGTTAAAATCTTTTAATTAAAACTAGGACCCTGTTTTACATTTAACATTTTGTGTAAATTAAATGCATAAGTACATTTCTATTTTTCGCTTAAAATTAATTATTAGCAGTGGTTTCAGCGTGCAACCTATCTACCTATCTTAGGTTCGAACCCTGATCTCTCTATTTGCCCATTTAACTCGGGCGCATGCGGCGTAGGATACTTTGGAAACCGAGGTGATTAGGCACAAAAGCCCAATCACCTTCCGTATTAGAAAAAAACAAATGAACACGATACAGATACATAAATACAATAATATATTTTTATTTTAGATTTCATTGCATTCATACAATTATAACTAAATTTATTAGCATAAAATCAGTTCCGAAGGTGACGAATTTCTCGCTGCCCCAATATATTTATTCCATAATTCATACCTTTCAGGTATTTAGACGGTGGTCTAATAGGGAATAACCCAACGTTAGACGCACTGACTGAGTTAGCGGAAGTAAGACTAGCACTGGAAGCCACGGGCCAGTATGAAGCCGCTAAGAAAACTCATCTCAAAGTCGTCGTTTCATGTGGAACTGGTAATTATAACCTCAAAATGCATTGCAAGTACTCGAATTATAAAGCTGAATATAATTTATGTTTTAATGTTTTTATCTAATTATTTGCGGCTACAGAAATTTCTAATTGATAACAAAAAATAATCTACCCTCATTAAATACAATTTCGTTGATTGCTGCGTGTGCGTGACGTGTATCAGAATTTGTGTGTCACTTTTAACAGCTTGTTAAACGGCTTTGATGCGCTCAAATTTTGTTGTTACCTAAAAAATACTATTACTAAATCATTGAAATCACGAAACAAATACTATTACGAAATTTTTCAAATTACAAAAAATAATCTAAAACTAAATCATTGAGAATACCTATAAATACTATTACTAAATTACTATAAAAATACTATAACTAAATCATTGAAATTACCAAAAAATAATATTACTAAATTATTAAAGTACCAAAAAAAAATATTACGAACCGAAAAACAATACTATTACTAAATCATTTTATACCTTTGCAGGCATGATCCCGGTTACAAAATTGAAAGATATAGATGTTTTTAAGCCGGAGAGCATTTGGGACACCGCCAGACTTGCACTGGGATTATCTTCCATTGGAAAGCTTTTAGTTGATCAGGTAACATTTCATTCCCCTAATAAATAATAAATCACTTGCACCGTTAACTGTACCTGTCTCTGTTTTTCATAGCGTAAACACAATGTGACAGAAACAGACGGAAATGTTATTTAGTTAAGAGAGATGTAAGCTAAAATATAAATAATTTTATTTTAAAACATAAATATAATATAAAATATATATATATAAAATACGCCCATTTCCACTTAGTTGTTCTTCTTAATGATGTCAAAATCAATCAAAATCAAAATACGTTTATTCAATTTAGATGCTTCTTAGAGCATGCTTATGAATGTCAACAACGTTTACAAAATTCACGAAAGAGCAAGACTACGCCATCCGTTCGCAAAACTACCAGGAGGCCTTGTTCTGAGAAACGGGCAAGAAACTCAGCAAGTTTGCCCTCCCTTTACATTACAATTATTCAAAAGGGAAAAATGTCATAAACCACAACGTCTTTAAAATTACATAAGTAAAAAAAAAAATCTGTTCTGTGATTTACCACATTCACCATTACACACATATTCATAACCCTTCAAAGATAACAAATCAAATTATAAGAATATAATTAGAACTATTGCCAAGCGTTTTTATCTTCCAGGTAGTCATTGACTGTGTAGTAACCTTTACACATTAAGGTTTTTTTGATGTGTGTTTTGAATCTGTTTAAAGGCAGTTCCAATATTTCACTAGGAATCATGTTATAGCAGCGTATACTTAGGCCCATAAATGTAGTATTTATTTTCTGCAACCTGTAAGACGGCTGGAAAAGTTTTCCCTTATTTCTTGTATTCCTATTGTGAATGTCGCTGTTCTTTAAAAGAGAACTAATATTACTACGCACAAAAACGATACAGTTGTAAATATATTGGGAAGGTACCGTCAAAATATCGATTTCCTTGAACAAATTTCTAAGTGAAGTATTCTTTATTTTATCTATTCTTCGCTTCCCTACGATACATCGTCCCATCTATATGCTGTATTATTTTAAATACAATATTCCAGTACCTACCCAGAATAATCGGAAAAACCACAATTTTCTATAAGTTTCTCATGAACCGGGTGACTCAGGTGAAATCCGTGCAGTTTTTGAGTTAATCGCAGACATACAGACAGACGTGGAGGACTTATTTTATGAGAATAGGCTTTTGAAATATAATTTCCTATTCCTCAGGCGACGCAATCCGACGGACGTATCGTTGAACGCGCGCGTGCGTGGTGCCAATCACTGGGCGTGCCCTACTACCGGTTCTCGCCGCAAATGTCACGCGACCATGCGATGGACGAACGATCTGACGAGCACTTGGTGACCATGCTGTGGGAAGCGCAGGCTTATATGAGGGACCATAGGGATAGAGTCTTGGAACTGGCTGCTATGCTGACTGACACGGGTAAGGGTTATAAACCACAGACAAACCTTGATTCAAATATTTCGCACATAAATGAAATTAACTGGTGTTAACAAAAGCAGTAGTAGTGTTGGCCTAGTGGCTTCAGCGTAGGACTCTCCTCGAAAATCTGAAGGTAGCTTCGTAACTCGTATGTGCCACCAATGGATTTTATTTCTATGTGCATTTAACATTCGCTCGAAAGGTGAAGGAAAATATAGTGAGGAAACTAGCTCGCCTTAGACCCAAAAAGTTGACGGAGTGTGTCAGGCACAGGAGGCTGATCAGTTACTTGCCTATTAGATTGACAAATGATCGTGAACAGATTCAGAAATCTGAGGCCCAGACCTAAAAAGTTTGTAGTGCCACAGAACTTATAGTAAGTACTTACCGCCGCCCATGGAGTCCTGTGACACCAGGAGTTTTGCAAATGCTTTACCGGGCTTTAATTTAGTGCTACGCTCTTCTCTTGGAGGCCTAGAGGCCTAGTCGTAACTCATAAATTCTTGGAATTGCAGCTGGTAAAGTGGTGGTGGAGTGACAATGAGGCAAGGAGTGTCATAAAGGATGCTCCGAATATTTTGGCCAAATAATTCTACTAATGACTCTATTTGTATTTTGTTTCAGATCTTAAATAATTATTTGTTAGCACAATTAGGTGAATATAGTTTAATATATGATTATAAAATATGTTATCGGATTTAAACGTTATATCAATTTTTCAAGTCGTAACCGACTCGGGTTTATCGCAAGCGTGGTTTTTAAATATCATTCCTACAACTGTCAGCTGTCATTTGTCAGATGTCATCGCAGGAAGCAGGCGCTTTTAGACTTAACGTTAATTAGGGGAAGGCGTGTATAAGTGAGATTTTAGTTATTTAGTTATTCGTTGGAATTATTGACAAGAATGTGAGAAAAGTACAGTTATAAAATGTATGAATAGTAGCAAAAATAAGTAGAACCTATACTTAGTAGCTCAGTTAATGTCCTGATATCATGATATCGCGTCATAGAAAATGTGATTTTAAATCTAGTATCTAAGGTTTATTTTCGTGTGAATTTAGTTAAAATAGCTCATTTTGGCATGAAAATGCAATTTCTAGTGTCTTGTTCGACTAATTATATATAAATATACTTATTCAGTCATTTAGTCTTAACGCATGGGGGCATGGGGCGAACAGATTTCTATTTCGTTAGGTCTGTTCCTATAGAAATACTATTTGACCGGAAATCGAACCAAAAACTTTCGACTAATCATTAGTTTTTCGTTGATATTAAAACATTGTTGTACTAATGTGTCTAATATGCACAAAATTCATTTAAAAGTTGCATAGTTTATTAATTAGCGGTTTTTTACGTTAATTTTATGTTATATAAATATCGGATTAAAAAAACAAAGTTTATCAGTTGAATTATTTTTATCGAATTTAGCCTTGAATTTTTTATCTTTGAGAATTGCATGTTACGTAAATTTGTTATTCGTTATTGTATGCAGATATAATATATTTTGAACCCACTAGATTTCTGAATTGTGTGGACTTGAAGCTTAAAATACTACTATAGTAGTATTTAAGGGTATTTTTTTTATTTATGATTACAATAGTTTTTATTTCATAAAACCAAAGGTTAATGTATACCCTTATTCATGAAAACTTAACTAATAGTAATGTACTATTATTATTTTATTGTATCGTAAAATTAATTGGCAGAGATACAAGTTGTAAAATAAAAATTAATTTTGTTTGTTATAAATAATAGTATAGAAGTTAAAAATCACAAAATATTATATAATATTCTCTAAATTTCCATTATAATTAGCAAACTTATTAAAAATTGTCCTTGCATTGTAATTGCTAACAAAGGTAAAAACATGAATTTACTTATTGACTTTTTATGTACTGTAAAACTTGTCTGCCTTACCTTAGGGTAAGAATCAGTTCGCACTAGCGTAAACTAGTTATAGTTTACGCTTATAGTTTACCCTTATAGTTTACCCTATAGTTTACCCTTTGTCAAAAACGTGGTAGATTTTGACATACCGAAGTCATAGTTCGCGCTAAGTTAAAGCTTGATAAAGTTCATATGTAGCAAGTTCTAATTGTATCGACTGAGTATTTAATGTGGTGCAAATAAAAGTCTATATATATTGCAAAGCTGTTTATTTTAATAAAATATTACCTAATAGAGACTTATACAAAGACTCAATAATATCACATTTCTGATGTGGATATTATCAATCCACGAACTAAACCTATCGAATACACAAACAAATTTATTAAGCTCTTAAATATCTTTGTGTTTTCGCCATTTACTAAGTACCTAATATGTTAATAAATAGCGCCTCTAGATTAACAGTGTCTTTGGATTTTTTTTGAATTGAAACGCCAAATAAATAAGGTGAGATTCTACAATAACAGTTGAAACTCGTGATTGTTAAAATAGTTCTAGTAGGCAATTTAATCTGAATCGTGGAATTTTCTCACCATTCAACGTAGACAAAGTTATGACTGCTGTGAATATAGCTGAGAGTCAATCCATAGACAAACTTCACACAGTATTTTCTTATAAGATAATCTTGCTGGAAAGATTTATTCTTAATTTAAATATTATGACTCGGAAGCGAGATGTCATTGAGTTTTGACAATTAACTGTTATAAAAATAATCAAATTTGTTATGTGCCAGTACGATACGATATTTTTAATATATTTTTGTATCGCCTATACACAACAGTCCATAACTTTGACTACACATAATTTAGTAATTAAAGCAATAGGAACGTATATAATTAAACTAATGCTCTAACGAGGCACAAATAAACAACCAACGATCACTGAGGGAGCTGTATTTGGACCACTACTACACTAATATGGCCTCCGTACACAAAACACGTTTCGACAATTGTTATGTGCGGCGGACCTTTATACATATGATTCTAAATTAATTTGCAAAGCAAAACATGAAAGATATGTAATATCTTTGTTGGAATGCGGAATTACAGTCAAAACCGGTTATAACGACATTGAAGGGACCGTATAGTTGCCGACGTTATATCCGATAGTCGTTATAAGCAATGTCATGTACACAAGTACAGTACATATGTATGTACATAGTTTCGATCTAGATAGGTAGGTATGGGTTATAATATGGTTGTTAATATTATAATATGTAAACGAGTCAAAAAAGAAACAAAAATATTTATTACGAAATAATTAGGTACAAAAGTAATCAGTCAGTCTGTTTTTTTAGCCCAGTCTCAATTTTTGCATTTTACGTTTCATACTCCTCAAGGTATGAGTTCACCAGTTCAAACTGTTCGTTAAAGGCAACAATTTTTTGCAAAATCGTTACAGCGTTAAGAGCCTCGGAAATCGTTGTTGGCTGAAACTGTTCGTTGGGAGAAAGTGCGTAGGTAATAATATGCCTAAATATTCATTCAATGCTTATAAATTAAATTTAAAATCGTTTGTATTGTTTTGTTTTACTGAGACAAGAAGCGGTTGGTCGTTATATCCGATGAATATCGATAAACTTTCGTCGTTGTAAGCGATATGTCGCTGTATCCGATGTTGTTATAAGCGGTTTCTTTACTGAATAGTTTACTAGGGATTCGGACGGGACCATACAATCTGGTTGTAATAACCGATAGGTCGTTGTAAACGATGTCGTTATAAACGGTTTTGACTGTACTTCCAAAAAGTGCCAGTCTTATTTAATCCGAATTACATATTTTGTTTTAAGATGGCGTGTCAGCAAGCGTACCACATAACTTCAATAGGATTTTACAACTTAATAGTTATATAGAAACGCAATTTCGATGTTTCATTCGTAGCACAGGTTGGAATTACATAGAGATATAAGTTACGCGGTAAGCTTGCGGTGTTTATATATTTAGAAAACAATTGATTTGATTTTATATAATACGTATATATAAAAAGCTGCACTACAATAGTAGGGCCCATCTCGCACGCTCACTTATTGCATACATATTTAAAGGCCGTATTTTATTTGTAGCAAGTTTCAAGACTACGCTTTCAATACAAAAAGGAACACATTAAAAATAACATTATGAACACAAAAATCGAATGTCAATTTCATTAAAACTGTAAAATAATGCGAAATTTCACAAACTCTTTGGCCTACCTAAGAAAAAAATACGGTATCTGCCATTTGGCACGTTACCTCAGTCCATTAACGAAAATTAAGTATCATATGTTGGTATCAAAAACTAAGTACATTTTTAACCCCAATAAATTAGACGAAAAGGCACGGCGTGGAAAAAAATCTACTTAATCTAACAGACTTTCTGTACTCGTGTTACGGCCAACCTCGAATACCTTTTAACATATTTCTCGATAGCTATCTTGGCCAGTGGAGTATTGGAGCCCGAGGAAGGAAGTCATGAGCTTTCAGTAGGGAAAATTGGCTCTGACCAACTTATTTGTTGGGTATATTTATGCGCATTTAATTCGTCAATTTTCTTGAAATATTAAACGTTTTCAAGTCGCTAAACTTCATTTTGTGTTTAACTTAGAGTGGCGATTACAATATAAAGAAATATAAGGAACCATACATTTAAACTTACTTGTACTTAAAGTATTTTAAAAAAATCACTGAGCGAAGATGGAATCGTTTAAACCATACAAAATTAATATTTTATTTTGCTGTACAATTTGTTTAAGAATTTTAATCTGTTATTTGTAATCGAGATTGGCCGTATATTATTTCAATAATTTTTGTTCTGTATTAAAATTCCTAAATATCACATAGTTAGGTAAACTGGATTATTACCAAATTGTACATTAGTACATATCATCGGGATTTTCCATGTTCGCAATTAAGTTCCGTTTCTCTTCCTTTCCTTGTTTTGTGTTTAGCAGGTTCGGCCTAATCGTCGATTTTGGCTCGAAACAGGGCTGGAAAAAAAATACTAATAAATAATAGTCATTATTACTGGCTTAGCTTAACACTTATAGTATTATAGAAGTTGAATTTGCCAATATTATAAGTGATCCCAGTTCGAACCGTGAGGGAAAACATCGCGAGGAAACCAGAAACGACCCAAAATGCCGACGGCTTGTGTCAGGCACAGGAGGTTGACCACCTACTTGGCTTTTAGATTGACAAATAGTATGAAACAGATACAGAAATCTGAGGTCCAGACCTAAAAAGGTTGTAGCGCCACTGATTTATTTATTATTATTTCTAAGTGATTAATTGAAACTATTTAAATTATTTACAATTCAAATATTATCACCTTCAGTAAAAAAGTTAATGCTTTTAAATTTACTTAACTGGCAGTTCTCAAATTACCAGAACGGACGAGAATCTTCGACAATTTTAAATAGTATTTATCCTTAATTAGAAAAATAAAATGAACTCTAAGTAGTGTGTGTAGAGTATTGTGTTATACTTAATTTATTTAAAACGGCTGCATACGATGATATCTGTAAGGCACTTAAAACCTACTTGTGTATAAAAATGAAAGATACATAAATTAAATAGCACCATTTTCGTATTGCTTTCAATATCCTAGCATCAAAGACTGGATTTATTTCATTAACTGAATTTATTAAAGTAGTATTCATTGTGAGAAAAAAAGGTATTTTTTTATAAATGTTTTTTTTTGTAACAAGTTGCATTGGTATTAAGTTACTGTAACATTACTCATACTTATTAATATGTGTCCAGATTTTCCACCACACTATTATAAAAAAACTGATTATGTATACAATAAATAAACATCAGTATAAACACGTTCAAAATAATTTCAACAGACCGTTGTTGTACCTACCAAAAATAAGAATAAAGATCTTCTTAATACGTATATAAATGTATATATTAGTTAATTAACACCTTTAATTATTTTGATAATACAATCACTAAAAATAATAAATACTTTTTGGATTCAGTTTTTGTTTCAGAAATCTTCTCTGAACACATTTTTCTGTTTAATACCAATATTATGTCACGATATTAAACTAATAACATGAGTTAATACTGTAACTCGTTGCGTACCACCATATCTTGTTTGTGTATATATTTTATAATACGCAATACATTGAGCGTAATAAACTGGCAAATATAGATAACAACAATATTTCCCCTAACTTATTACTAAATTTAGACGGTAAACGTTTTAATAATCCAAAACCATGCTAATGGATATTCCAAAAGAAATCACAGGATTCTCCACATACAAATGTTCAATAGTTTAATAATTGAATTGCTTAGAAAGGTTTTTAATGTGTGTATGTGTGTTTGAAATCTATATTATTATTATAAAGGTAATGTATGTGAGGTTGCATGGTATTCTCTGGGTCTAAAAAATGAACCAGTGACGCTACAACTCTTTTAGATATGGAACTCATAATTGTGTATCTGTTTCATGATCATTTGTCAATCTAATCGGCAAATAGGTGATCAGCCTCCTGTGCCACACACGCCGTCGTCTTTTGTGGGTTCAAGGTTTCCACACGATGTTTTCCTTCACCGTTTGAGCGAGTTAAATGCGCACATAAGCACATAGACAAATGTGCACGTCGGGGATCGAACCTACGACATCAAGGATGAGAGTCGCATGCTGACGCCACTAGGCCAACACTACTCTCGCTATCTAATCTCTGGATCTACTAAACCGATTATTATAATCTCTGACCTATTATAAACCACATTATTTGTGCCACAGGCTATATAAAAAGTTTTTCGTGGTACTAGGATTTGAAACGTTAAATCGTTCGAACGAAACGAAAAAAATAATATTTATAGAAACCAACATAAAAATAATATATTTTAATCATGCGATTAGAACTTCACAACTAAGCAACCATTTAGCTTCTTCTTTTTTTTTCATTTTCTTTTCTTATGTCTATTTAAGGGTATTTATAAAACATGTATTTCTTGTTATATATACATATATTTGGGACGTGTCTTATATTTCCTTATTGTAAAATAAATTAATATGCCTATATGCTGTTTTTTAATCAACTCTATTTATTATCCCAAAATTTATCAATGTACGGGAAGGAGGTGGCTTTGAGCCACAAAATCAGTGTACTTTGTAATTTAATAAAACCTATCATCCGTTGCTATAGAAAACTTGTTTCTCTATTATTTCTATAAATAGTGTTTGCTTTAGCTAACGACGGGAACAAGACGCCAAAGAGAACTATTACTTTTGAGTTAGTGAAAGTTTAGTAAATAAAAGTACAAGATTATACACACTGGGGGTGCAAGACACGATTCTAGTGCCAAAAGTTATTAGCTATCAATATTATATAGTTGTAATTTATATAAAGTATCTTTTTTGAAGACTTTATAGTTACTATGCACTTCTTGCACTTTACCCTAAGTATTTACTTTTGAAGTTATACTTCTTTGGCGTAGCACGATAAAAATATTTTCAAAAATTTTATTTTTCCGCCTTATTCCTTCTACGTTCGTAGAAGAAAATGTAGCGAAGATTAAATAAATACATAAAACTTACCGTTTCACATATATTCATATTACAGCAATTCTCTATAGTTATTTCACATTGATCCGGTCGAGCCGTCAGCGGTGTAACATTCTTGTTCACGATTATACGTTTCTTTATCCTGTAAATTGGAAATTTCAGTATTACGAAAAAGAAATAAAGAGAATAAGAAATGTACATATACCTAAATAATTTATTTCCGCGTTGAACAGTATCTAACGAATTTTCGTATTTGGGAAAGAGTATTTTATGTCACTTGTGTTTTTACCATGTGTCTTACAATAACGACAGTGATACCAAGTTTGATATATTCTTTCAATGTCCGTACCTTAAAATTCGCAAGTTTGGAATCGCGCAAGAAAAACGCATTATTGAGATCAAAATCAATCGTGATTTTGACCTTTCAATTTAGAGTTTTCGTACCAAATAATTATTAATTTGGGACATCAGCATATTTAATGTTTTACATCGAAATTCCGTTTCGTACTTGCCAACAAATTGTTATTTATAGCCAATCTGTAAATCGCTATTAAAGTTACGTGGTAAGTTTACAAATCCCAAGGAGCATATATAATTTAATACAGCATATTATGTGAAAATCGCAACAATCGGTCTGGTCTGACACTTTGGGAAACAGCCGTAATTTAAATATATGTCGCAGCAAACTATCTTAGCCGTTCAATTAACAACCTAGTATCTTCACTAAACAGCGCCGTTTAACGAGCCGCCTGAATGATATTCAACCATTTCATGAAACAGCTAGGCTGACTTGAATCGATTACGTTACATTACATGCCTATCCTGTTCATTTTTCAATTTAGTTCCACTTTTTAGCCCATATAGGCTAGATGCTAAAAATTCTATTACAGAGTATTTACAACTTCATCAAGTTCCATACATAATAAGTCCCGAAATTATGACCGTTTGAAATGTATTTAGAGAAGTAGAAATACCTCCAAATTCTACTACGGCATAGACAAATCCACGACCTCCGCATTCTACTCTGACATAGCCAATGTAATGTAAATATTGCGACGTATTAATAACATTACTATGTATTTTTAATCAACATCAATATTATTTATCATTGAGCTACTGTGTTGTTTAAAAAATTATTACATAAATAAACCATATGACCTGTAGATAACCAAATTTCCCTGTTTATACGCAAAATGTTATTAAAATCGTACACCTAATACAATTACAAAAAATATTAGTGGCGCTAAAACTTTTTTTTATGTAATAGGAGGCAAACGGGCAGGAGGCTCACCTGCCTTGCGATTCCATAACTCGAATTTTACGATTTGGCATTCTGATAAACAATAAACTACAAGCATTTGACATTCTGATATTAAGGAGGGATCCTTAATATCAGAGTGCCAAATCATAAAATGACTGCTTTACGATTGATTTGAGCGCGACCGCCGCTGTGAAAACCGCTGTGTGAGTTCGAAAAGTGAGTTACAGAATCGCATTGCATTGCCGGCATTTCTAGGTTCAGATTTTGGAATCGAGGTTGACAAGGGTCTAAGGCATTTTCCTCACGATTCCTTCACCGTACGAACGGGTTTTAAATGCGCACATAGAAATTCCATTGCCCCGTCGGGGATAGAACTTTTTTTTTATAGAAGAGGGAGAAAACGGGCAGGAGGCTGATCTGATGTTAAGTCATACCACCGCCCTGTTGTGCGTTGCCCCTAAACGGTGGTACGCTCTTTTCTAGAATTACCCTAAGTCGAATTGGTTTGGAAATACTTCAGTTGGCAGCTGGTTCCACTGGTGGTGCGTTGCACAAACTACGGACTCAAAGATGAAATTCGCACATAGAGAAACTAAAGCTGCTTCTTATATTTGTAAACAAAAAATTATTCTAGATATAACTCAATAACATTAGAGGTTTCGAGTTATAACAGTTGTCTAACTTCGTAAATATTAGTTCATAAATATATTCCTGAATTCATTACCATCATTAATTAAATTGTTCCGCTACTTAATTTTCATATCTACACGATTATGTTGTAATAATGAATTCGATACTCCAACCATTACCAATAACTAACGAACCGTGTAAATTGTTATGTGTTCGTTTATTATAGAAACTGGTCAGAGTTGAAATACTTTCATTAGGAACTATAAATCTAAAAATATGCAAAACTTTATAAACCCAACTATTTATAATCTGCACCTAATATGAAAAACAGTGCCGACAGGAGCAGTGTTGGCCTAGTGGCTTCAGCGTGCTACTGTCATCCCTGAGGTCGTAGGTTCTATCTCCGGCTGTGCACTAATGGACTTTCTATGTGCGCATTTAACATTCGCACAAACGGTGAAGGAAAACATCGTGAGGAAACCGGCTTGCCTTAGACCCAAAAACTCGACGGTGTGTGTCAAGCTCATCTCATCTGATTACCTAGCTATTAGATTGACAAATGATCATGAAACAGATATCTACAGAAATTTGAGGCCCAGACCTAAAAAGGTTGTAGCGCCACCGACTTACAATTTATTTATTCAAATACCTAAGGGATGAGACGAAACGACAAAGCGTTCTAAGGGCAAATGGAGGTAAAAGCATGACGTATCATATCTCGTTAACATTTATTTTTTGTAGCATATAGAGCAAAAAGGGCAGAAATCGCAGCCCATGGATTCCATTTAAGTGGGTGCGTGGCCGGCATTTGAGGGAGGAATATGCTTTTTTTTTAACAGTTGGAGGTCGTATCTCCTAGGGAGGAACCCCACCGGGAGTTGATTCCACAGTTCGCTAGTTCGTGAAAGAAAATATAATAGAGTTGTATTGGAATAAAGACGCTTTTGAAATTCTAAATAAATGTAAATTTACAATTAATTTAACTTTTTTTTTGACGTTCATAAGTGTACTTGTTTACCTATATGAATAAAGATATTTTAAAGTTTGAGTAAATCAATTTTTTTTAATCTTTAATAAAACCTTATTTGAACCAAACTTTGAATATTAAAAATACACATACCTGGGGCGTCGCTTCAGTTGCAGTACTTTCGTAATAAGAATAGCACAGAGCAAGCTCAGAAGTCCACATAGTACTCCCAACGCCATCAATATAGGATCGCGCACTCCATCCCAGCCTGCGCAGGATTCCACAAAATCATCGCCCACTAACAACGCTTCAGTGGTTGTCATCAGCGGGCTTGCAATTGTTTGGCTTTTTGTCACATCTGGGTGTCCTGGCGAGTTGTTCGCGTTGTTCGTGCAACTGTAAAAGTCATGGCTTGTTTAAAATATTTAAAATTTAATTTACAGAAATTAGTAATTAATTTTGTTTTTAATTTATTTAAAAAAATCAAAATACAAACATGTGTCGGTGGAATAAAAATTGGTCACAATTTCTCCGTCCACCGGAACGTATATATTATAATTATTGTATTATTGTATGTACAAGCTGCGACAGTAGGAACCCGTAATTAACGCGTGCCAAGTGTCGAGTCTTTAAAGTTGATTTTATGTAGTAGTAGGTAAATATATATAATAGAAACGAAAATACGGTGGACGGACAAATTGTGACCAACTTGTCCGTCTAATTTCTGTGTTTATTTTAAAATAAATAACTTATATGAACTAGTTATACTAGCTACCATCTACACAGGCCTTGCTTACATTCACGTTTTTAGTAAACGAATTATAAGTATAAAAAAAATATAAAAATCTGTTTATTCATTTTAAGTACATATGCATTACAATGTGTAAGATTTGGGAACCCTTTTAAGTAAGAAATACCTGTGACAGGGTTCCCAGCTCTTCCATAACAAACTTAAGTATAAACTCCTTAAAATTTATTTATATCATTTAATAACATCTTTTATTTTATTTACTTTTCAACTGTTATCAACACGCATTTGTGAGTGTGTGGGTGCAAATGTGTAAGTGAGTGAGTGAATGAAAAAAGTGTGTAACTATAACATACTAGGTCTCAAAAGCATCTCTAACACTGCGTAAGGTATGGTCAGAAGCCAGTCCTTTAGTCGTATCTTTACATTGTAGATGGTGAGCGGGTAGATGTTAAGCAGCCTATTTAAGTATAGGCGACGGATTGCTTTCGTTGCGTTATCAATTAAATTAATCATACTGCTATCAAAATATCTTAAAAGATTAAACAGAATTGTTTAATTTATAACAAGGCTTCGATTTCCGCTTTCACGATCCTCAAGGTTCGTTTAACCTTTGAAAACGCACTTTGTAATCTCGGAATTATTACTTTGATCAATTAGTAGTTTTTTCACTGTAAGACAATGATTGACAGAAACTGTATAATAAATAATTTTTCCTCGTTAAATATAAACTAATAACTTAAATATAATTAAGAAACTTTGATTTTGTTCCCTTTGGAATAGAGACTCTTTGGCAGTTCAAGTGCACAGGCGCTAAATAAGATTTAAGTTGGCGCCTGGTATAGTGCCGGTAACCCGAGAGCTGGCGCTTTTCTTGCTCAACGAATAAGTATTGCAATACAGCGAGCAAATGCTGCCAGCATTAAATGTAAATTGCCGCAGGGACCACACTTTTTAAATTTGTATTATTTTTCTATTTATCCAGTTTTAATTATAATAATTATTATTATTGTACATCTGTATATTTGTGTGTTGGTAGTAAATAAATTAATTGATGAATTACTAAGAAACTTAGTGGTTAACGCTTTAGACTTAAGTTCGATTCCCGGAATAATTGTTTGCTTTTACTGACTAATGCCGTAAAATTATCAATGTCATTCGTCTGTTCCATGTTTACAGAACGAAGAAACTCAACACAATTTGTTTTGGTGAACCATATCTAAGTCTTATCAGAAATGATAAAGAGATTTAGTTTTGTGCGTAATTTGCCGCATGTTTTATCAAATTAATGAATATCTTGATCATTATCAAATATAATTTCGGCAGATTATTACAGACTAGATATGGTATAATTGATTGTCTAGTTAGCACTCTCATATAAATTGATATCTGATGGACAAATTAAACAAAAAAACTTTTTTTAACCAACGGAGTTTTTATATTTTATTTGAAAAGCTTGCTCGGCACACTGATAAATTGGTGCAAGAAAAACAAAATATTTAATGTGACAAACACTTATAGGCAAACACAACAAACCCGAAGAGATAAAAAAAATACTAAAACTAAAGGAAAATTGATTTCAAAGTGTGTGTGAGTTTAAACACAAACGTGACTTACTTGCATATATCTTTAACAGGTGCTATTGTAGTGGCTACTTCGGGTTTTTTTCTTTCGCATCTCCCCCCTTCAAAATTATCTGGACACTTGCAAGTGGGTTTATCAGAATTGATCGAACATTCACCACTATTCAGACAATAACCGTTGCATACATTCACTTCACATCGGAGCCCAGCATATCCTTTCTTGCATCTAAAAACAATGTACATTGTACATATAAACAATTTGTTATTAAACAATTGAAAACTTTGTTTCTTACATCTTAAAACAAATAAAGACAATGTATAAAAAAATTGTTATTAAACAAAATAAAGAATGCTTTTGTTTATGATGCGATTGTTTTTTGTTTTTATTTATTTTAACATACTGTAATGAAATATTTAATTGAAAACTTGTTTCTTTCATCTAAAAACAAATAAAGACAATGTATAATTGTTACTAAACTAAATAAAGAATGATATTGTTTATGATGCGATAATTTTTTGATTTTTATGAATTTTAACATACTATAATATTTAATGGTTTTTTCCAATGTTTCTCTTCATAAAAACCACAGAGTTCAGGGAATAGATATTGATTTTTTCGCAATTCCTACGTTAACTCTCACAACACTTGAACGGTTTTAGCGATAAGGCGCTCGCCATCGCGTCCTGTTAAATGAATAAAATATCAAAACAAATTACCTGCAGGTAGGCTGCCCTTCGGATCCTACTTTACATTCCCCATTCAAACAAAAGCTTTGACACACAGATATCTCACAACGATCGCCTGTATATCCTTGTATACATTTACATTCATTTCCAGACCCTTCACCATGTAAGCAGAAGAGACCAACATCGAAGGTGGAATCGGTTGGAATGTCGACCGTCTCATTTTTAGACTTCTGCATTTCCCACACGTTCTTACACTCCGGTATACCCTCAATTTGATCTTCAATGTTATAGTTTGCTACGATACCGAAAGGCTTAATATTCCCGTTCGAGAATGTTAGGAACTCCTCTGGTTCTGTGTAAGGAGGTGCGTCTTTATCGATTTTCCACACAGTTTTGTAAGCCCAATCTACCCAGTACAACGAATCCTTTGATACAGTCAGCGTGTTCGGGTGGTGATGTATTCCAACAACTACCTTCTTCCTGTTCCCGCCGTCCAAGTCTGACGTCTCAATGGTATAATGTATGCCTTCTTTGTCGTCGACCCAGTACAGACTCCTTGTTCTCTGATCGACAGCGATGCTTACTGGCATATAGATGTCCTTGTCTATGATGACCTCTCGGCCGGTGCCATCCAGGCGCGCTCTTTCAATCGTTGGTCTCGTAACGTTTATGTTGGTCCAGTATATGTAACTAAAAATGAGATATATTTTAGACTAGTGTCCAAAATAATAACACGCAAAATTTTATGTAAAAAGGTCGCGACTCTATCTCCATTTCAATTTCTGCTGAATAACCATTACCTGTCCATATCGTATCTCTAACATATTAATTAAGATTAAAGATAATGTGTAACGAATTTGATTTAGTTTTTTGTTATTTTCCTTTTTTTTATTTACTTTTTTGAATAATATTTTGCAGAATAAACACAACATATTGACGCTCGAAGGCTTAAATGGAAATGGGCAGGTCATTCTAGAGCGCTGAATAAAAGACTTGAAACAACAAAATGGCCTGGACCTATTGGAAATATAGGACGTCAAAAGAAAAGATGGACAGATGACAAAATAGAACTAGCGGGGAAAAACTGGATGAATATTACTCAAGACAAAAAGAATGAAAAAAGACATATGGAGGAGGCTTTTACCCTAAAAAGGGCCATACAAATACTAGAACACTAAAAAAACCTTAAGTTTTAGAACCTAACACACTTAATAAATCATATGAAGAAATCTAAACTACACAATTATTGTATCGATTATTTAATAAAACTAGGGCAGTTCAAGTATTACGTAAGCAGATTTACTGCAATTTATCCCCCCCACCATTCTCTTGTCAGCAAAAGTAAGCAAAGCTCTCAAAAATAATAGTACATAAACGTATTAATTTTTTGTAGGAATCCTCGAAAATGCATTTCGTTTTCAAGCATACCCAATGTGTCGGTAATATTATGTGTAAAAAGTAAATAATTACTGTTGACGTAATCACCAAATAAGAAATTTCAAAGACCCCCCCACCCCCATAGTGCTTACGTCATACTTAAACGGCCCCCAATAATAATAATATTTTTTTTAAAAGGCCCATTTACTAGTATTATAATACAACTAAGTGTTAAATATTATTTACACTCACCCTCTACAGCTATCAACAGCGATATCCCTAGGTATTTCGTGTGTCATATTCAAAAGAACTTTTCCGTATATATCAGTTTTGGACCTAGACCACAACGAGGTCCAGTAGATGATTTTATCTTCCGTGTCCGGCCAGAATATCTTACCGGAAACGGGGTCAAATGCCAGACCTTGTATGCTCTCATGCGACCGTCTACCCACTAGAGGTTGTGACTTCTTCGTGGCCAGGTTGTAGCTAAATATAGACGCGTTATCGCCCTGTTTATCAACGAATAACAACAAGTTATGGACGGCATCGTGTGCCAAGGCTGTGAGATCTCTGAATCTCCCTACCTCATCCTTTTCTTTCGTTTTGTTTGTGTAAAATTCTAATTGGTCCCCTGTCGTGATGGCAATATCTGCAACAAGTAAAAAATTAGTTACTAAGAATCGTTTGCATGTAATAAATAACTGTATAGTAATGAGTGTATATTTGTCTCCGACAGCATATTTTGGCAGGAATGTAATGGATCGATTCCAATGACCAATAGTCGTCATGGTAATGATAATTACACTTATGTAATGCCTTATATATGCTTCATAATAGTTTTCGAAACCTCGCTTTTCAGTGTTAATGTTCTATTTGACGTCATGTTATCTCGAGGTGACGGACTGCGAATGTACTTTTTACTTACTGAGTTAATAACGACTCCGTACTCGGTAGGATTATACGATATTTCTTGTGGTATATAGGTATCATACAAATGTATTGTGTACCTCAAGATTTTTGTTTTTTTTTATCACGCTTTTACAGGTTTCCTTAATTTTTTTAGGAAGGTTTTAATCACAACATTGATTAATACAGTACTAATTATATCCCGAGGGTGTGTCCAAGGGTAACATTAATGGAGCGATCAACGCCAACTATTACTTCATAATCACAATGATAACAGCCCAGTCACGAGGTGATAGAGATGTTTGGAAAACACCCAACAATGCGTACATTTTTTCGCACGATGTGACGCGTGCGCAACGTACGACTTGCGTATTAGGTGTCTTAGCGTGATTACTATTGTTCAAATTTTGTATATCTGAATATTTTTATTAAGATATAAAAAATTCTAAGTAGCGTTTGACCTTTCTGTTCCTGTGCCAATTTAATTATTAATTAACGTCAATAAACTTTTTTTAATATAAATATATTTTTATCTAAATATTTTTCTTTATATATTAAAAAAGTTAATACAATAAAAGTATTCTTACATGAAGAACATTCACTAACAATTTAATGTAGGGTTTGTTTGTTATAAATTTTCAAAATGATTAATTTAATAACAGCTAACAAACAGTTGAGTCAATATGTAAAATACAGGCCAAAGACGAAACTTTGATTGTGACTGGACAATCGGATGTCCTTTCGTTTTATATTCTTAACTTTAGTGTCTGCTTAAAAAAACCATTCTTCTATCTTATATACTATTCTATTACAAGAATCAACAATTTTCAGTTCCAGAATTTCAACAACACAATTCAATTATTTTAAAGACAATTTATAGTAATAGAAGATAAAGATCGCCTCTTAATCATGTATTATATTTGCTAACGTAGATATCCTTATCTTTTATCTGTATAGGAAAACATTCTAGTTCCTAATCCCCAAACTATCGAAAACTTCTTGAACATAAGATGTGATGGTATATTAGTGTCAAATTTTTTTTAAACATACTTTATCTTGTTATATATTTCCCGTGTCTCGGTTATACGAAACTAGCTTCCTTAATTCAGTGTGGATATTTTAATTTTTTTTTTCAACATTTCGAAGAAATAAATATATTTTTATTTATTACTGCTGTTAGTGGGCAACAACCCGTCCTTATTATAAACATTGTATCAATAATTATTTTAAGATTACAATAAAAGGACATAAAAACTAATTGTTCACAATAAAAATGCGTTACGGCCATTATAATTATTAATTAACGTCAATATGTAATCGACATTTAAATTATTACTCTTATAAATAGAATGTGTCATTTTTTCTAAAATATATTTCTTTTTGCCATCACCGTACATGCAAGTGTTGTCTGCATATTAAAGGTAATAATTATAATCTATGTATTCAAGCAATCGTAAATCATAAGTTAATTACTATATTGTACAAAAAAAATATCAGTGGCGCTACAACATCTTTAGGTCTTTGCCTCAGATTTCTGAATCTGTTTCATAATCATTTTAAAATCTATTAGGCTATTAGGTCTATCAGCCCCGTGCCTGACACCGTCGACTTTTTGGGTCTAAGAAATGTCGGTTTCCTCTCGATGTTTTCCTTCACCGTTCGAGCAAATGTAAAATGCGCACATAGAAAGAAAGTCACAGCCGGGGATCGAACCTACGACCTCTAGGTATGAGAGTCGCACGCTGAAGCCACTAGGCCAACACTGCTCTATTACTATATTGTCCTAAGTATTATATTGGTATGGTTAAATTTAAAGTATATTTACAGAAAGGGACACACGACATTTCAATGACCCATATGCAATCCAGCCTTCCTGCCATTGCCAGCATTTTAGTATAAGGATTTATGCCGGGATCAAATCTCGGTGCGCAATAATTGAATGCGCGACCTTGATTTAATATTATTTAATACTCATTACGGTAATAGGTTATTTAATTATTCACGGTTAGTGCGACAAACCATTATAAATTACAGAAGGAAGTATTTTAATAGGGAAATTAATATTGTCGGATTTTACATATTTAAATAAGGTATATAATATATAAATAGTAATAGGAATTGCGTCATGGAAATATTAATTAAAATATTTGGATTAATAACGCTTCTGCCTGCCAGACTGTTCGCGAGTGCGTTGCCGGCCATTTATTTCCGTAGCCCATTTTCAGACCATTAGTTCGTAACCTCGAAGGGTAGGTTCCACGTGTGCGGCACATGAACGACGAATATCAAGATGCTGCAAGTGGAAATAATTAATAAGGATTTGAAATACAAGAGATATAAAAATGTTTTATAATTTGTAAAATTTATTATTATAAAAATAAATATATTTTTTTAAATGTTAATAAGAAAGTCAACACTCTTATCAAGACGTTAATTATACTCATAAATAAAATAATATTAAATAAACAATTTATCTTAATATCCCTTTTCATGGCCGAGTAACTAGATCACGACAAGTTGCGCACGCGTTTCCTTGATTTCAGGATATTTAGAACTTCCACCATTTAAGAGACAATAAATATACATACTTAATTTATTTAATTTTTTCATAATATGCATTCTAGAACAATAAATCAATAATATTTCTACTTTAGTAGTCATTAGTAATCATAACAATCAAATATACAGTAATTACAATTATCCTACATAGTAATAATAAAAATAATAAAAAGAAAATTAAAACAACTTTTAAAAGTTTGGTCCCTGTGGCAGTGTATCTTTAACGCTGGCAGCATTTTCTCGCTGTATTGCGATACTTATTCATTGAGCGAGGAAAGCACCAGCTCTAGGGCCACCCGTACTATCTACCAGGCGCCAACTAAAATCTAATCTAATTAGCGACTGTGCACTTTAACCCCACGGATTTCTGTTCCAAGAGACAATTATATTTTACGGTAACGATAATCCTATACACATAAGTATAATATATGAATTATATTTAATTTACTTATAATATGTACCTAAACATAATATAATGGTTTAGCGCTTGCTTATGTATATTTTTTATTAGTTGTCTTCGTGTTTTAATGGTTACCGCATAGCGATCGTGGATTCGAAATCGGGTTGGTAGACGCAGAAGACAATATGTCTATATCCCCTGTGGTTCATTCATTTATAGAATGTATTGTTTTTGGCAACCCTTAAATTAACATTAAGACTGTCTCTTCATTTAAGTTATCTTGCAAATTTTGTGCGCGGCATTTTTTTTGCAATAAAATTTTAAAACAAGCAAAATCCTTATAAGATTAATTTATTTCGAGAAAAAGAAAAATTAACGCTGGAAAGAACATTTTAGTAATTTGTATTTTTGATATAATCTTTTTAGATACTAAAAAGACCAGCCAGATACAAATACAGCCAAAGAGATTTTATTAAAATTTATGCATATTCGATATATTATCTGTGACCACAATATGATTATCCAAGAAAATATCTGGTCTTTGGACGTATTTGACATTGAAATAGGTCAACTTTTCCGAATAAAATTACCATTGCCAATATCCGCATCACGTTCACCAGCTTTTTTTTATCTTTGACGCAAAACACCTGTGTACCAGTGGAAATAAAATCTCTGCGTAAACAGGTATTTCCAATTAAGACAGGGTTTTTTAGAATGTTCTTACTTTTTGTCTGTTTGTCTTAAATACAGAATAATTAAATTTTGTTTTCAATATCCATAGCGCTGATCATGCATATGTCGCAGCCAACTAGCTTAATTAGCCGTTCAATCAACAGCCTAGCCAATTATATTCAACCATTTGATCAAACAGCAAGGCAAATGACTTGAATCGATAACGTTACATAACTTGTGTTAGCTTTTAATATTTAGTTAATTAAATTCTAAACATTTTTTATGAAACATATTCTTAAGAATCTTGCTACAGGCGCGCATGTGCAATAGTTACTCATTTGACTCGTTCGGTTGTTTACGAATTGGCTCAAACAACTGCCCGAAGTGGGATGGTCGAGTCGAAGTAGGGAATAGATTATAAAAGAGGTTGTAACACATGCGCACGGGCAATTCCCTTTTCCAAGTTTGAAATTAGATTAGTTTACGTAAAAGGCCTCGAGAGACCTCTGGCATTGAGAGTGTCCATGGGAGGCGGTATCACTAAACATCAGGTGAGCTACCTGCCAGTTTGCCCCCAGTTCTATAAAAAAAAAGAACGTTAAATCAGTGGAGTGATTTATAGTGAATCTAGTCATCATTGGAGTGTTTAATTTTCTACCCTAAGAACTAGATCAACTAGCCCTTACACTTGAATATCCTGTTCATTACAATTAGTTCCACTTTCTGCCACCTTTCATGTTTGAGAATATCAAAAACTAGACTGGGCCGTCACCTACCAATATCATGGGCATGGAGTTTTGACTATTAAAGTGCCTACGACATCTTTTCATACCTTGAGCGTGCTATGAAAGGTACGAAAACGAACACAGCACGAAAATAATTTCTTCTACACCTAAGTAATTTCCCTAAGTTGTACATAATAATTGTTTTTTTTTATTTTCAGTTTAGTAAGCCGTAATTTAAAATTTCCTTAAAAATCAAATCATTATTTTGCAAAAAAATAAATATTAATCTTATCTTTTGATCTAATTTTCAAACAAGTGATTTCATATTTAAATTATAATCTCGATAATTTACTTGTCATGAAGCAAAAATAAACACTGTGATTTTAAGATTTTGATAAGGTCGATAGGAAATTAGGTATATAAAGTGAATATTGTAATGTAATGCTGAATGTTTTGTATTTAAAAATTGCGACGCACGCGCATTCAAAACATGGCGTCAGATTACAAGTTACTTATTCATTATAAT